TTCACTTAATGATCCATCACACAATATTTTGTTTTCTCCTTCTGGTTCACAATTCAGCTGTGGATCTTATTTACTAAATTCTACTCAAGCCTTGATTTGAAAACAGAATTATTAATTTCTGTGAGGAGTCTTCTGTAGCTTTTACCACTAATGATTCACAGAAATACACTATAGCTTTTACCACTACAGCGTTTGGGTATTTCACCATGTAAATTTAATTCCTTACTTCCCTTTGTAAAATGAAGGCTTATCATCATCAGATCCAAAAGGGAGGTACAATGTCAAAACCATCTTTTAATTTTGCTTGCTGAACTTGAAATACTGATTTTTCAGAGTAATGAGCACTGCATAATATGTTATATTCAAAGCATAGCTTCCCTTGACCATGGTTATATTTGTGAATGTCAAGCACTGGAGTATAAGTAGCAGACAGTGAATACTTGTCAAAAGCTTTGTTTCACCTAGCTGAAAATTACCATCTAAAAATCTGTGTGAGAAAGACAGAATCTAGAAAATTGTGTTGTCATTAAATTACCTGAGTGATACAACATCTTAGAGCATGATCTTAGAGATCAATTGCACTTGCCAAGATCTCTTTTGCTTTAAGGTGAATTCCTTTTATATCTGCTGTCTTCTCTGTCAAATATTCAGTAGAGGTGGCAAATGATGACAAAACACCCTAATAATCAGCTGCCTGCTTTTATTTATTCATTTTTATGTTAGGGATGGGAATGCTTGCCAGTGTTTATACCGACGATGAAGAGAGAGGCAACGCAATGGGAATTGCACTAGGAGGTCTCGCTATGGGAGTATTAGGTGAGTGAGATGGACACTCTGCCAGCAAAACAAACCTCTCAACATTCCCCAAAGCATGTATTGGAGACCTGTGAAAGCAGCTGAATATCCTGATCAAGTGCAGTGTCATCATGCTGTCTCCAAATTATGCTAAGGATATATATATATATGTATTTACATAGAAATGGATTTCTTAGGTAGATGCATTTTCTTAAACTCTCAGATCAGACTCTTCTATGTATCAGACTCTTCTGATACACAGAAGGTTTTCAAATCTTGGTTACCAGTTACATCCTCATTCAGACTATCTCCTCCAGTGATTAGCAACTAACCAGAGCTATTGTGCTCGCTCAGTTGTATCACTGGGTTTTAGTGGTGTATATGCAGTGTTCATAGCTTCAACAGGCTTTACAGGGACTGGGGTCTGTGTTCCTACGCACGTAAGTCTCTAAATGCAGGAGATGAATACAGAACTTCTTATGGTTTAGGCCCCATTCTGATGCGTTTTCCGCTTGTTGGGGCTTCCAGGACCAGATTCCCACCCACCCCCCCTATTTTGTCTCACAGAATTAATGTAATTGAAATTAATGGAGTGAAGCAAGTAAAGAAAATGAAGCAAGTTAGACTTGGCTGGTGCTTGGTGTTTTGTATTTGAACCATGTCAGACAAGAGTCTCTGAGATGTTTGGATTTTGTTTTCATAGAACAGGATTTTGTGGGTTAAAAATGTAGCTATTTATTGAGATCACAGAGCTAAAGGAGCTTTGGGTTTTTTTTTTCTTAAACCTGAGGGTTTGGTCACTAAGTGTTGATAGCAGCATGGCCAACCCCTTGAAAAGACTTTGTGTTTGGAAGGCTGCTAGAAAAAGGCTGCAAAACTGCTCTTTTATTTCTCTCTCTCAGTGGGCCCACCTTTTGGGAGCATCATGTATGAGTTCGTGGGGAAGAGTTCTCCTTTCCTTGTGCTGGCTGCACTCGCGCTGTTAGATGGAGGTCAGTACCTGCGAATATTCAATTTTTCCATCTAGCACCTTCCTTCCATGCCTTGCCTACTGCCTAACCCCCTTCCTGAACAGAAGTTACAGCCCTGCTTTCTTCTTGCAGCTATTCAATTGCTTGTGCTGCAGCCAGCCCGAGCCCAAGCAGAAGTAAGTATAAACATAAAACACTTCGGGTGATGGATAATGCTTTGCCTTTCATAAACCCAGGATTTTATGTATTTCACAGAGCCAGAAAGGGACACCGTTACTGACGCTCTTGAAGGACCCGTACATTCTGATTGCAGCAGGTACTTGATTCTTTTTCTTTACCAACTGTTGGTGCTAAAACCAGCATCCGACAACACCTCAGGCTAACCACGTTTAACTGTAATGTCATTTGCAGTTTTCATTTACATAAAGCTCAAGGAACAAAAGCATTTGTTGGCAATACAGGATTGCCACTGGAAACGCAGTAGGACGGAAGTTAGAAATCTTCATGTCTGCTAACTTGGAGGAAGCTAATGAATTTCTGTGACTTACTAAGATAACGAGCTGATATAACGAGCTAAGATAACGTCTCATACTGAGACATGCTAACTTGGAGGAAGCTAATGAATTTTGGTGACTTACTAAGATAACGAGCTGTTGCTCATACTGAGACGTGACCCTAGAATTTCTATAAGGCAGATGGGTTAAGGCATTTGGATAGAGGAATTGCAGGCACATCCCAGGCAGGCATAAGGAATTGTTTTGATCTTTGTTTCCCTTTGAAGAGGGTGTGAGTTTAGTCTCTAGGGCATGGAATATATTTGACAGAAAGTCTGGGTCATATAGCAGAATGCACTTGGTATTGCCTTTATCATTTGTTTGATGATTCTGTCTGGAGAGAATTTGCCTTTTTGCATCACATTTCACTGAGCATTTGTTCTGAAGAAGTGTGTATTTAAGCCTGGCCTTTTTTATGTTCATCATATACCTGAAAACACATCATAATTTTATAATTGTGTTCCTCTACTGCAATTTAATTGTCCTACAAAGTAATCTTACAGACATTAATTTGGTTCTTTTGTTTTAGTGATCTTAGGGAATTATCATGATTTTAATTCTGTAGATAGACACTTGGTCAAGCTGTGACCAAAGTTTTACAAACAATTTGGCTTAAGAGATTCTTGGAGCATTAAAGCAGCCTGTTGCAGAACTGAGTATTTCAGAGAAGAAAGCAAAGACAGCAGCTGTCATAAGAGATCAAATCTATCATTCATCTAGTTCAGGATCTAGTCTCTTACAGTGGTTAGCAGCAGGCAGTGCAAAGTAAGATTCATCATATAAGGTTCACATTAAGTAGATGTCTGGAGTAGATATCTAGAGTAACATGATCCCTGGAGGGTCTATTCAGTAAAGTTCTGTTACTGATTTGGCCGGTCAAGGTTTTAAACCCCCAAAACATGACAAGGGGATAAATTATAAGGGCTCCTTTGACTAACCAAGATTTGGCTAAAACTTACCTTCACATGAGCAGTTAAGTGCAGAGTTGTTTTAACCATCCTACATGCCTGTTAGGAACAGAAATGGAATTTGTTGCTATTTTCTAACACACTACCATGGGATTCAATTTGTGCAGCTCCTCTATAAGAAGCTGCTGCAGCTGATGTTCTGGGGGTGCAGTAAAGCAACCAGTGTGAGAGCTGCCCTGGTGAAAAGGACTCGGGACGCTAGCCTGGAATCAGGCCTGCATGTGTCAAGGATGTGTTTGCTCTTCTGCCCTGCCTCCTTTTCACTCTTGCTTCCCTGCATTTGCCTCTAAGCTCTGCTGGTGCTTCTCAATTCCCCTTCCCATCTTTGATCCAGCGCAGATGTGAATCTTTCTCCCTCCTATCCTTTCTCCCTACCTCTTTCTCTCTCTGTAATTCTCTCTAAGAGACTAGGAAATGCCTGGTCTGCACTGTGCCTATGGAATGTGGCATAGGAGAGACACCACATTGGAAATCGCTGCCTTCTCCTCCTGTAGTTTCAACATGCAGATGTTACAAGTTCATGTTAAACTTCTGCAGGAGATGGAATATGTGAGCAAATATAGATCTTGCCTCCTTATACGTGGTTTGTGTCAGATATGACACCTCTCTGTTGGGCCTTGCACTTAGTTTTCAGAGTAGCATGTTGGGCTCTCATTGAGGTACGTCTTAAAGATCGGACATACATTTGGTATTGGTGTACTTGCCAAGTTTGGTGATGTCCTCTCCTAATGGCCAAGGAACACAAGCCATATCCTCATGCACATCCACTTCTGGACTTTTGTAAAGTCTGTTAAGAGCAGAATAAGGTGTTTGCTGTTTAACCATCTCTGTTAGAATCACACTGCTTTCTCTGGCTGCATTTTGTGTGTCCTAAAGTGGTTTTCTGGCATCAGAGAAGTTACTTGGCTGATTGCCAAGAAGAAGATCAGAGAAGCTTGGCTGATTTTGGTTTGGAACAGGGAAACCCCTAGGTGGATAACTAGGATTGCCTCTAGACACTCTACTAGCGGAGACTTGCAACAAAATGGAAAGGTTAGCTCTAGACATAACATTACATCCTTAGCGTAAAGCAGTGCTGAACTGTTGCTGCTTGCCCCAGGAAGGCAGTGAGTGAGCCAGCCTGTATGTTTACTTTAAGAATCTTAGCTATACAGTCTGATGTATTCTGGCAGGTTTGAACAAAGAATGACATCAGTGCTCATTTTGTTTTGAACTGTGTGAGGAGGAACTTATTCCAAGAGAAATAATATTTCACTGACCTCAGACAAATTAAGCTTTTGTAAGAAAGTGATGTTTGGACGGCAAACTACTGTAAGAGTCTTGAATATGTTCCTAAATTTCAGAGATTGTAAATATTAAAAAGAAAAGTGGGAAAATATGCCTGAGGCTGTCAGTTCTAGAAGTGATCCCCAACCCCCCTTGAAAGGGTTTTTGTAAAGGATTATCAGAGGGAATGTGTCCTGTTGCCCTGCATTAGGCTTTAGCTGCTTCAGGTTCTTTTGAGGAAGTGGGAAAGCCATCTTGAATCAGAAGAAACACCACGAGATTCTGCACCGCAGCAGAAGTGCACTACTGTGGAGAGACCAGCTTGTCATTAAAGCTCTGGAATCTCGACCTGCAGGAGAAAAACTTTCTGCATTGACAAAACTGAGCCAGCAGGCAAGACTGAATCGCCAATTTCACTGATTTGTGTTTGAACAACTAAATGTCCCAAAATTCAAAAGGGTTTGGGAAGCGTGTGAAGTTCACAGGGGTAGGCAAATTCCAGGCTTGTTGGCTGCTCAGTTGCACAAACTCACTGGCTGTTGCTTCTGGGAGCTCTTCACCATATTCCCTACCGTAGGGGATAGACATCCTTGTGGCTGTCTCATGGGTTTCAGATCAAGACTTCCATGTATCTTAGTCATTTTCAAATGACGAAAGAATGGGGTCGGAGCTGGTGCCTCTTGCACAACAGGGCTCAGTTTTTGCCCTGGGAGGCAAGAGGTAAAGACCGTAGGATTGTAGTTTTAGTTTATCATTTGTACAACAGTGAGACCTTGTGAACTTTCTAAATGTCATCGTGCTCACTGCAGATTCTGCTCCTCTCCCTTCCACATTATGAAAATAGCTTAACCTTTAATGCAGAATTTCTAGGAGAATTGAAACATGTAGGAGGTTAGTCCTAAGTTGTTTTGCATTCTCTGCTGTTTAACATTAATCATCTGACACATAACAAGTAGGACTGTGGAGACCTCAGTGTTTTTGTAAACACATCCATTCTTTGTATAGCTTTTTGTTAATAGTCAAAAGAAATAATTTTTACTTTTTTTTTTTCTTTCTCTTCTTTCTCTAAGGGTCAATCTGTTTTGCAAATATGGCTATTGCTATGCTTGAACCAGCATTACCCATCTGGATGATGGAGACCATGTGCTCAAGAAAGTGGCAACTTGGTACAGTACCCTATTTGCTTCTAGTATATTTTGTCCAATGTCTGTCTCTGATCTGGTCGCATTAATAATTGTCTCCTTCTGTGCTTTAGGATGGTCATTTTTTGTGACAGTCTTTAAATTGTCAATATTATAGTGGCACAATGGCATATGTGCTTTTGTAAAAGAAATAGACGCAGTGCTGCTGTTACTGTAATATAGATTTAAATAAGGGGCATCACTTACATTGCAAGGAGAAGCAGATGCTGGTGGTGATGGTACATGCCTGCATGCCAGGAATTCATACGGTACAGCAGCATTGCCAGACTGGAGCCCTGTGGTCAAGTGGGACACAGTTAAATTTGATTTTTAGCCCTACATTTTATACATTAGAAAATATACACAAATTTCAGGTTGCATTTTTAAAAATACATTTTGTTTATAATCATTTGTGGCAACCAAGAAAATGACCAAGATTTGATTAAAGGACATTGTCAATTCTCAAAAACCCAGAAAACAATTTGTGTTGGAGGTTTGAGTTTTTTCCAGTGGGAATCATTTATCAATTCCTAGTACGAGTTGCCTGGAGCAGGCAATCCCAGAAGTCTGCATTGGATTCAGTAGGTTTGGCACCGAGCGTGCACAAACTAACCCATACACATCCACGACTGTTCACAGCAACACTACGTAGCTACCAGAGAGAAAAGGAGCCTTAGGAGCATTTTCTCATGAATCTGGAAGATTTTACACTCTTTTCAGTGGTTACTTAGTCATCCCATTCATAAGGGACTTCTCCACAGAGCTCATGATGCTTATAAGGACAGTTTTTACTTTTATTGAAGGGAATGACATTTTCTAATTGAAACCAGCAAGCTGATGTTCTGACCACAAATTCTTTGCTTTTGGAATGGAGAACTGTGCCAGAAGGCAATTGCTTACGCATAAGAACTTTTTCCAGTTTAAACTTAAACTTACTAGTAAAATTCAATAAACGTGCATTTCTGTGGTTTGCTGTAATTCTTCTCTCTTACCTAGACCTCAAGAGGAGTCATGCGCAATTAACTCTTGCAGAATCTATTTCAGGAGTTATAGATGTTCCATTCAAAATTAACAAAATTGTCTATTCATTGGGGGAGAGAAAGAGGCAGAGACTTATTCTTTCAAACTGTTGTTAATTTGCATCCATGGGAGGCCTATGTTCCATTCATTGCCATATATGATATTTGAGTATTCTATATGAAATAAAGCAGTTTCTACACAAAGCAATGGGAGTGCTTTAACTTGAAGCAAGTTATAACAGGGCACCCTTCTGGAAAACTGTTGTCCACAGGCAACAGTTTAACAGTTCAGTGAGAATTTGTCCCTTTTATCAGATTAGGCTAGAGAGCAAAACTGGGGTAACACCATCTCTTTGAAGTGAATGGGGAAAAAGAAGAAATCCTAGATGGAAACAATGTTCAACTAGCATCAAACGAATATCCCTGCACTACCCTGAGTAGTTGATGTGAAATTTTGTGATTAGCCCCAACACCAGCAGGGTTAAAACCCAGCACCACTACAGAGCAAATGTAACCTCGGTTCTCTTAAATGCAGCCTCAGATCCAGGCTGATCTTTTTGTCCCTTTGTACGTGCAGTCCTTTTTGTCCCTTTGTACTTCTCTTAAATGCAGCCTCAGATCCAGGTTGGGCACAGATAGCAGTCCTTTTTGTCCCTTTGTAAGTGCAATGGTTGCTAGCCTGTAATATAGCAAAATTAATGCACAAGCCTAGAGATTTTAAACCTCCCTATGAAGAAGCCTGATTGCTTATCTTACCTCGCACACCAGAGTTTAATATTACTGGTGTAATGGAAATGAGATTCGTGAATCTCTTATTTGAATAGAGATTCCTAGAAGGAAAATATCCGTTTTAAATTAAGACTAATTTTACCCCATAATGATATAAGTAATTGATTCCATTATGCTTTGTCTGATTTGACAGCATTAATTAACGTTTTTAAGCCTCTTAAAGAATATCTTGAAATGCAAGATTTTAGGTAAATTTTTATCTTATACAATTTAGAAGTCCAGTTGTTTGAAACATGAAGGTACAAAGAATTCTGATTTCAATCAGTTAGTGATACAGTGCATAAAGCTTATTTAGCAAATTACAGTTCTGCTTCAGTATACTGCAGCTTATCTCTCCTAACACCTAATTATAAATCTTAGTTAGCAAGCCTTTGCAGTATTTTCTGCAGTTTTCAAGGTCTTCTATGTAACGAATTGGTATAAGCTGGCTCCAAGCAGTACCCAAAGCAGCTGTAGTTGCACAGGTGAAAATGTAAGCACAGGATATTGCAGTGCTAAAAATTACCTCTAGATTTTTCTTATGAATATCACAGAGATAGGAAGGAAGATGGATAGACAGGAAATGAGAAAATCTATGTTGCCTTGGTGAAAGATGAGGAGCATATACACTTGAAGGAAATTGTTTGATTGTGTACCATAATGTCATAGCAGCTTTCTCAACATCAATTATCCAATTCCCAATTTCAAAAATGAGCAAACAGAAGGCCTATCATGGCAAGCATTAAGTTATCAGACTTTCCTTTGGCAAATTTCCCTGTTTTGTTTTTCTTAGGAAGATGCAAAATTTATGAGGAACAGCATAAAAATACTGTGCGTCATTTCTTCCAAGTCCTCTGTTTCGTGTTTGATGCAATCTCACTCCATGTAGACAGCCCATGGTCCTGTATGTGCCTATGTAGCCATCCCTGCTGCACTCCAGGCAATGACTCTCTGCTCCAACTATTAGTATTTCTTCTACAAAGCAATTCCTCCTCTTATGTCTCCCTCCAGGCTTGGTTCTGCCCTATGATTTATGTGTAGGGATAGGAAGAGGACGAGCTCTCAAGCACAGGTTATAATTGGCTTTTAAACCAGAGAAATTTCTGGCCACTGTGGAGCCAGTTGCAGATGCTTCAGATAAAGCCCTTGCTCTGGAAACCTTAGGACTACAAAAATAGTTGTTCCAGGCAAACTTTCTTTTAGAAGGGATGTGAGGTCTGGTAGACCCCATGTAGTGGGGTCCGGTTGCCCCAGTATCAGGGTGCCCTCATCTGGTCGTTATCACAGACTATTTTTTTTTTATTTGAAACTAATTGCCATTTCTTTGAAAAATAACTTTTACTGTGAGTATATCAGTGAAGTCATTTAAAAAATATGTTTTTAAGACTTGGTGACTGTAACTTGCAAAGCAGCGGTAGCATCCCACTGTTTCCTTTCTCCAGGGATCAGAGAAAGGATGTTCTCCTGTGCCTGTTGCATATGCTGAGCATATGCTTGATAAGCTCAGTGAAACAGAGAAGTATTTGTGAAGGGAAAAGTGAACTCTCTTGAACTATCCTAAAGTTTATTGTAATTAGAAATACTTTTTGGTCTTTTTTTTTTGTCTCCTCTCCCATACCTTTTCGGCTGATGCTGAAAAACTCTTTTCAAAGGCATCACTTCGCTCCAGCGTTTCATAGATAATGTCATTAGATTTCTTGAAAGGGCTGCAACGTACCGGATATTTGATTCTTTGTGCCATGCACCAAGGCTCCATTAGATGGGTTCAAATCAAAATTGCAGTGTCTGGAATTTATTAGTTTCTTCTAACACTTCAATCACTGCTGATAAAATATCTCATTCATGTTTTTCAGGTGTGGCTTTTCTTCCAGCCAGTATCTCTTATCTTATTGGGACTAATATTTTTGGGATCCTTGCACACAAAATGGGAAGGTATGCTTGATTTAAGAATACTAATAACGTCCCAGTCTATTCCTGCCTTGTTTCAATGTTTGTCAGGGCAATTAACCAATAGTGGAATTTGTTAAAATTTGTTGTATAGCAGTAATGATCAACCTGGAAAAATGATTTTTGAACCTTTTTGTTGTGTAACTCTGCATTCAGACGTGAGACTGAAACATTCAAACTCGCTCTAACATCTTAATATCAGTAATGTAATGTCTAACTGATGTTTCTTCTTTGATAGATGGCTTTGTGCTTTACTTGGGATGATAATCGTGGGAATAAGTATTTTATGTGTAAGTAAAACAAACCATCTAAATGTTCATATGTTCCTCCTTGAGTATGTGTTTTACTCATGAGATTTTTACTGAAATTTCTGCCTTCCGATACATTATTAAACAATGTATAGTTAATATGTTCCAGAATGCAATTTTGAGTGCTTTCAGATTTCATTGCTTCAGAACTTTAGAAGGCGATACAGCTCGTGAAGGAGAAGGAAGGCCATTTTTTGGAGCTGTTGTTCAATTAGCAGTTTGTTCTTGTTCATAACTGTGTGCAACTAAACTGCAGCCACAACAGGAACCAAATTCTGATTTGCCCATCTGTACAATGTGCCATAAATACCCAGGATTTATCCGAGAAGAGAGAACTATCCTTATTAGCATGTGCAGTAGGACAAAAATAATTTCCTGAAATTTCATTTTTAGGTACCATTTGCTAGAAACATTTATGGACTCATAGCACCAAATTTTGGAGTTGGATTCGCCATTGGTAAGAAAAATTATGATGGCTTTTTACAGTCTATTCCTTTTGTAAAAGTGGTGCTATACATGGTTACATAGAAAACTGGTTTTGAGGCAATTCTGATTTTACAGTAGTGACGTCTGAGCTGTGATCCAAATTGGTAAGTAAAGCAAGAAGACTTAAAGGATAGTGCTCAAGGTAATTTGATCTAGGCTGTTATTAGACAAGCCAAGTTCTGAAGTCTGTCCAGAATTGCTCCATCTACCTAAATGGGTCTTTCAAATGGCTCACAAAATTATATCTTATTTACAGACTTAAAGCAATGAAATAAAACCCAGACTAGTCCCTTCTATAGAAGAGATTTATATAGACATTGTCATAGAGAGAAAATACACTCTTGAATTTTTGTTCATCTAAAAGGACTGCCTAAGTACACATGCACATACCTTTTTTTTTTTTAAGTAATATATGTAAAATTTGTTTATGTTGGACCCTACAGTTAGATCTGAGTGGGGGCCATGGCTTGGTCTTTGGCACTTGGCTTGTGAGCAGTGTTCTCAGGTATCTTCACACACAGGGGACTTCAGCTAGAAATGAAGTTGGAGGAACAATTATGAATCCCCAACATGGCAGTGGGTTTCTCAGAGCTCTCTTGTATTGTTGCTGGCAGTGAGAGACTGACGGCTCAGAAAACACAAGTTAAAACTGCTCTGAGAATTCTGCTTCACTGGGAGCTAAAGAAATCTTTTGGGCTTACAGTAAATGTGAATTTGTACAAAGTAACTGTCCTCTCAGTGAAAGAGTTTTTGCATGGACAGTGTCTAAGTTAAGTTATGCAGTTAAGCATGTGGTTGGACTTTTCCTTTGTTTATTTAAGATTAGGTGTCTTTTTAGTTGTTCTTGCATTCCTTCTCAGCAGAGAGTTGGCAGACATATTAAAAGAAATAGCGAGTGTTTTCCTGAAATATATTTCCCTGACTTTCCATCAGGAATGGTGGACTCTTCCATGATGCCAATCATGGGCTACCTTGTAGATCTGCGACATGTGTCCGTCTATGGGAGCGTGTACGCGATAGCGGATGTTGCCTTTTGCATGGGGTTTGCACTTGGTAAGTCCTGACTTTTCCACTTCTAATTCAGAAAATAAAAAGGGGAACGAGGAGGCTGCTAGAGGTGAATCCCAGGGGCATTCGTGGGCTCTGTGAGCTAGAGTAGTTATTTTCTGCAAGAAGTATACAGGGAACTATGTGTGGTTATTCCTTACAAAGAGACCTTGCAACATTGGAAACCAACCCATGGCTCTTCTCCTAACTCTCTGCAAAGGAAATAGCTCCATCCTGACCCACCATACCCTTCAGTTTATGATACCCAGCCTTGTAGCAAGATGATGTGCTTAGGTGGTGATCTGCCAAACTGGAGACATCCACCAGGACACACTGGGGCTCCTAGAGAGGAGGGTCTTCAATTTCTGCAGTGATTGTGGAGCATGAAGAAAGGAAAGGTTTATGTTTGAATTACAAAGGTATATCTGCATTCCTCAACAATTTGCAAAGTGGAAATTTTGCACATAAAACTACTGCTGTCTAACGTGAGTGTTGCAAATTTTATGTCTGAGCAGTATTCAGAAAAAGATTCTTATTTTAAAAAGGTCCCTCTGCTGGTGGTGCCATTGCAAAAGCAATTGGATTTCCGTGGCTCATGACAATTATAGGAATCGTGGATATTCTTTTCGCTCCTCTGTGCTTTTTCCTTCGAAGCCCATCTGCCAAAGAAGAGAAAATGGTAAGCAGAAAAAGGGGGTTTTTTTTTTTTTTTGCATTTTTTTTTCAGTGACAATGAATGATAATTTATTTCTATACTTTGGCCTCTAACTTCTCCCAGACTGGACTGTTTCACCTTCAAGCATTACCTTTGGAATGAAAAACCTCTCTTTATATGTCCAAGATGTAAAAAGAAAAGCTTTTTTGCTATCTATGTAGTACATGCATGTACTCTCACTGTTGTAGTGTTTTCAAAGAAGTCGGTTCTTTTTGGGCTTTTACAGTAAAATGAGTAATGATTATTATCGAACAAAAAGGGGTCAAGCAAACATCTATCTGCAACAGTATATGATGTGGTGAAATAAGTATAGCAGGTGCTGTTGCTTCCCCCAAGAGCTACAATTGTGTTAGCCAAGTACTAACTTAACATGATTTATTCCTTCCTGGCCCTCATCCTGTTTTCGTCATGGTCATGACGTATTTTGCTCCATTCCTTCCTCTTCCTTATTCCTTCATACAGATCAACTTTCCTTACAAATTAACGACTTCTCTTACCCTAGCTATAGCATAGGTCTTTTTTCCCGATTTTTTTAAAATACAACTTTGCCTATGTCAGTGCTCTTTCCTCCCTGCCCACTGAATGGTGCATGGCCAAATCAGCAGTATTGCCAGTAACGCCTTGTCAACAGTGGCCAACAGTGAGTGCCGAAGGATGAGCATAAGACCAGATGGACCCGTTGTGATACATCTCCACAGTTGTCTCAACCTCCAACAACTGGGGGGAAGGAGGAGCTAAGAGATCTCCAAAGTCACTCGTAACACCATGATTAATAGACCTAAAAGGACTTTGTACTCCATTAAATTATCTGGTTGCTCTCTGGAGCAATGTGGAAGTCCAAGGTCTACAACAGCCTGGAGAGAGGAGCTTCCTTAGTCCACAAGTTCCGCCCCAGGATGTTGCACATGTGCTTGTGTATGCACAGTCCACTCTTTCTCCTGCTTTTGCACTGCTCGCCTAGCATGTACAGTTCCATTTGCCCTTTTAAAAAATGTCCTTTATCCAGGCCCCTCCATTCCTATTGTAAAACCTGCTGTTCCTTTAGATTTATATTGGATCAGGTTCAAAAGCCATCTTATGCTGGAGAAGATCCCTTGCTTTGTTTGGCAAGAAGACAGGAAGCTCCAGAAAGAATTATCATGCAGCTCTATTAATAGGTAGAATAATCTGTGCTCTGATTCCAGAGCTGGGAAACCCTGAAAAATGAGTACAAATCTTTGTTGCAACATCTGTCACCATTTGTAGGGTTAGTCCAGATGGTGCTCAGTCCTCGTTCAGGCTGAAGAAGGTGGCTTGGGGCCAGAATGTAGTGGTCGTTTATTGGTAGGAAAATAAAATGTAATTTTGTGCCACTGTTGTCTTACTATGTAATGCTACATCTCTGAAAGGTAAGGGCAGAAACTGCTTGGTAAGTTGCTCAGATTTTGGATTGGCATGAATAGCAAAATTAAAAAATGGAAAAAATGAATTTTGCTGAAGCTGTATGAGGATGGAGGCCTTCAGCTCTGCAAATGTTTGGATTGCAGAATCCCAAGTACAGCTAATCCTTTGCAGACTAGCTAAACCTTTGCAGACTGTGTCACTCCTTTTACACAGTGACTAAGGCTAAGAAACATAAAGGAAAAAAGAATAATGAGAAGATGCTCAATCCACTCTAAAGGACGTTTTGGAAGTGGGAAAGTAAAGTGAGTAGTAAGGGGTGTGGAGCCTGAGGTAGTGGGATTCTTTGGCCATTTATCTGGCTTTTACAGGTGGTGACCAACACACGGCAGGTAAGTGCTGTAACTGGAGAACGCCTGTAGGTACCTCAGCTTCCCTCCCTGGCCTGGAATACTGGTTCTACTGGAGTAATAGAAAGTTGCTGCTGATGCCTGTAGGGTAAAGATCTCACCTCATATAGGCCTAGGAGCTTGTTTTACGCTAATTGAAAATAGTAATTTGGTTTCTACTTTCTTGAAAGAGAGGTGAATCCTTAAATCTGCAGCGGGATGGCTGGGAGCTCATGGGAACTCAGCGAAACCTTCTCCAGAAAAGCTAATGTCCGTGCTCTGCTTTCTGTTTATTTTTTTAGGCAATACTCATGGATCACAACTGTCCCGTTAAAACAAAAATGTATACTCAGAACAACACCCAGTCCTATCCCATAGGTGATGATGAAGAATACGAAAGTGATGAATACCATTAAGAGCCATATCAAGTATCTTGGTGTACAAAATGCAGTGTTTCATGTGAAACATCTCATCCAGAAATGTTTTGGTTGTACTGTACTTTTAATAGTGAAATAGTTTAAAAAAAGAAAAAAAGAGAGAAAGAAAAAAACCAAAGGTAAATCATTTATTTCCCATGGTTATGAAGCAGATTACTAACCGCCTTATAAAGAGGGGAAAGAAAGGTTTTGTAGCAGATTTCTATAGTGTTAACCTTTATTTTGTGTATTTAATTTTATTAAATATTAAACAGTATATTTTTGATTAAATGTGTAGTATAAATCTGTAAAAATGTGAATTTAAACTTTTTTTTTTTTTTTTTAACTCATACACAATATTTTGTATTTTAGACTCCCAGGAAAGAACTGAGCTGTTGATAGTAAATTATGATCTAATTTAGTTATCCAATTAAAAAAAAATCAAAGCTCAAAGAAAACACACCTATCCCATTTCTAGTCTTCTCAACTATATCTTTGTAAGTACATTCACAGGAGGTAGAGACTGAAATTAAAAGTATAGACATCACCGAATTTTGTGATCCATTTTGGATCATAAAATGCTAAAATAAAAGGCCTTAATTTCTTTGCTGATTTAAAAATGAGCTCCACATGACCAGTCATGAAACATCAAGGACAAGATCTGGCAGATGGATGTATAACTCTTATTGTGTACTTTGATGAAGTCTTAAGTAACTGGATAGCTTGGTCTCTCTCACACACAGGGTAAAGGCATGTATGAATGTAAACGGTTCCTTTCCTTTAAAGGGAATTAAGAACTGCATAAAAGATACGGCAAGTATTTATATTCTTATGTCCTGGTTCTTATTTTTAACACGTGAATTTTATTTTAGACACATTTTAAATGACTAGTTATAAAAGCTGCAGTATGGCAGCTCTTAGATCTACAGAGTATTGCAACTAAGGTGATGTCTGTAGTAGGTTGAACAGGAAAATATTTTACACGCATTTGTATGCGGCCCTAGAAATTGCAGATTTATATATATTTATTTTTCAAAAATGAAGTAAAAAATATCATTTTGCTAAAAAATAGTAAGAATCAGTAGCTTGTGCCAATATCAATCTTTGGGGACAAATGCAGATAATCTGCTGCATTAGGCTGTATCTGCACTGAGGAAAACAATTATTCTGAAAGAAAGCATTTTAAAAAATCACAATGTCCTTATCTATTGTGGTGTATGGTTTTTATTTATAAATTAAAATCTTTATGTGCCTTCTTTCATGTAACTGTGGTGTTTTATGTATTACAGCATAGATACTATGTTTACATATAGTTTTGTAAAGTGTATATAGTATGGTCAGAAAAAAAATGGAAAAAAATATAGTGGATCAAACTTAAGTATAGCTTTGTCAATAATTATGCATTCAGAGTGCGGTAAAATAAAGTAATCTAAAATAAGTTCATGACCTATTGTAATGAAATATAGTAAAAAAACCCTCCTGTGATGATGTACATTAAATATTGTGGCTTACTGTATACTGGGAAGGGGGAGCAGCAGCTGATAAACACTTGTGGGGAGCCCTCCTCGTGCTCATCCAGCCACTCTGTCCTTGGGGCCAAGCATTTTCTCTCCAGGTGACAGATGTGTAACGTGTTGAAGCAACTGGACGGCAAACAAGCTGCCCTGTGACTGCTGAGATGGAGCTGTTGCAGAACAGAGTGTTTAAGCAGAATATTCAGAGACCATCACAGGAGGCTGAAATGGTATAAATAATCAAGCAAGAAGTCCTACGGGAAATTTGAAAATTCACTTACCCTAGCAGCAGATTTTATATGAGTTTATCTTCTATTGCATTCTTTTGAACACAAACCAATGAAAGTTCTTCCTTCAAGACTAAGTGTTTGAGACCAGTCTATCACAAATACAGTATGCACCAGGATGTTGCAGTATGTTGAATACTTCACTGCCACTCAACAGGTAACAACTCTGCGATTGAAATAAATAGGCTTGCTGGAATCGGATGGTGAATGATTTGCATCATTTGGACACTTGCAATTCCCCCCAAAAGAAACCAAATTTAGTACAGAAGTTTTAGTCAGTAGCAAATTCAGTATCCTGACAAATTTGAGCCTAAAATGCTAATATTAGAATTTTAAGTTGCCATATAGTATGTCAAATTATTATTGTATTGCTTAAACTTATATATATATGCAGATATATTCAAAGTAATGAAAAACATAATTTATAACAAAAAGGTGTGGGCATAGAACAACATAATAAATTGTTTCTACAATTTGAAGGGGAAAACAAAACACAGAACGAAGCCCAAAAAGCAGAGCAGAGGAGCCAGGCCGGGCCGAGGGACCCCGCTGCTCTTCGCACACGCAGGCGGTGCCAGCACCTTGGGGAGCCGCTGAGGGGACACGGGCCGTGCTCTGCCTAACCCGCTCTAGTCTAAAACTGATCCGAGGAAAATAAGCTGGTAACGGGGAAGGATGTGTTTGTTTAGATCCCTTCTTAACATTTTCTGAAGCAGCGAGTCCGAAGAATTTCTTCTGACAATGTATTCCCCCTCATGAGTCTACCTGTAGTCACTATCATTATTAACACGAGGGCAGTATTACTTGTACAGTGCTTAGAGCTCTTAAAAGCAAATAAACCCTCGGCATTTTTAAAAACATATCTAGCTCCACTGAGAATGAACTGGGGTGACCATTTTGAAATGAGCCTGCGTCTATTGAACTATGTAGAATAAAAATAAATGCATGTCTGTTACAAAAAAATGCATAAAACCCAATTATTTCAGCAGCCAGTAATTTTATTTAATGCAAAATGTGTTATTTTTCTCCCAAAGATACTTTTCTTTTAGTGACTTCAGATGATAAACTACCGCGATAAAAAAAAATTAAAAAATATTAACACAGTGCAAGGAAGTTTATAATTTAGCAAAACTATTTTATTAAAGCTTATTCTCATGATAAAATAATAGCTAACAAAATCATATTAGGCAGAGTTTCTGTAAATGTGTGTAGCTGCCACCTATTCAGATATCACTAAGTCAAGATAGTTGGTTTCTGTGGTATTCTTTATTTTCAGCTATTTACAGTCAAGCATGAGCAAAGATTACATCAGAAATGTAATATTACAATTTTCCCCTCAAGATCCACCATTTATTGTAATTAATGCCAAATAGGAATTTTGTGTTTTCCTTATCACTAAAATACAACTATTTTGCACCCTTTCCCCATTCAGTATATTTAAAAATATTGCACTACATTTATCTCTTACAATCATCATTAGCAGTACTATATGAGGAAAACTATATCCAGCTTTTCATACCCACTGTATTACACAAGTAAATTTAAAACATTGAATGCATTTTTTTTTGTGAAATCATTGTTTGCATTGTTTTCACAGCTCCTTCATGTGTACCAGGGCTTAAATGAAGTACTTGGATATATTTGAAAACTTCTATAGTAGTCCGTTAAGAGCAAACACTGATGGAGATTTAATGCAGATCACCACCAATGGTAAGCCACCGAGAAAATGAAGTGGGAAAGTCTTAATATGCACCTCAAGCAATTACAGGTTAAATATCATTTAGCCAATCAGGGAAGCGAGTTTCGTGTGGTTATTTGCTGAAGCAGAATTTCAGAAGTGTGACACGGCTATTTTAGCACGGGCAGTGTTTTCCATACATCAGCTAAGTAATTATCAACTGCCCTGAACTCACAAAAAAGTGCAAGTAGTTGCGTGAGTGGAAGTAATGTTTTCCTTAGAAGCATCTTTCTCCTTTTCAGAAAGGAATTGCTTTTTTTTTTTTTTTGCCTATCACAAAATAAATTGAGAAGCAAATTCTGTGGAAAAGCACATTACAGGCTGCCTCACAATTTAAAGAAACTAATTTACCCTCTTAGCTTCATCTCCTCTCCCACAAAGGCATTTTTTTCTACAATCAGTGATACCAGTGATAATGATAACAGTATCTAACAGTACCTAAAAAGAAAGATGATATTGTATACCTCATTTCTATACACAGAAGATGAAAAAAGACATGGTTACAAGGAAATAAATAAGAATAAGGGCCGTAGCCACGTGATGCCAAGATCCACAATTCACACATAGCACAAGACCAGATGATTCTTTTCAGAAGCTGCTGGCTGAAATTCTTCTTTGTCTCTACTGGACTCCCTTTGACCCCCCAACATGTTATATACACTATAGGACACTGCTCTGGAAGGGCTGGTCTTGCTCTGACCATCTCTTCCATTCGAGAAGCTGAATGCAGTTTACTGGTATATGATTACCCCCAAACGCTGAGAAACACAATGTTCAGCTATTTTGTTAAGTGTTACGTAAGCATTCTGAAATGATAAAACTTGTGGTGAAACATTAAAATGTTGGAAATCTTAAGTCGTCATCACATGCTGTTTCATTGAGTGCAATAAAATCTCCAAATCCTGTGAAGTGAAGTTATCTTTTATCAGGTTATCAGATACTATAACAAGATTAAAAGACACAATTATGTTCTGGAAGGCAATCAGCCTCTTTTTTTCAAAAATATTCCAATTAAATTAAGAGATATTGGTACGTAATTTAATATTTTGTATTATTCAAGCATGATGTGATATCTCAGATTTTGAAGGTTTTTTTTTTAAGCCACAGCATTACTATATTTCATGTTAATCACAAACTATGAAAAGTTTCTGTATTTAACAAAAATATGGAAAGAAAATGATATGCAATGATACCTTTACTAAATATTAATAATAGTAAAAATAATTACTTTATTTGCTTTCATGATATGTTTGGCAAGGGATAGAGAACTATCTAATGACCTACAGTAACTGCGATCAAGGTTTTAAAGCCTGGTCCCTCAGTGATTTCTGTGTCTGTCACCAGCTTAGGCATGCAACAAGCTTGTAACTTTTTCCTCATATGATGGAAATTAAACATTTCAAAAATCCTGACCGTTTCCTTTGAAAGCGAAATTCAAAAGAGGGGGTAAGCATTACACTAAAGACACCACATATTAATATGAAATGGTAAGGTTACATACTTAAAAAATTAAAAATAAATTATTAAAAATAAACTTCCAATATAAATCCAAAAATGTTGTTTTAACACATTTTTAACCAGACAGTTTTAACAGAACGATGGTGCCATAGCCAGAGGAAAATCGTTATTATCTGTACTTTTACACAGGCAAATAACTGTGGAGAAGCAGGTCATGTACATTATACCAGTGTTTTAATTTAATTTTTGAGTGTTTATGATTAAGTGCAAAGTATTCTGTTTAGCCTGCTTTTTCAGAGGCGAAGTATGCAGGTATCAGTCTAATGATTGAGGTGGATCGATAGGTTCTTCTGATATGTTAATTGTTGGGGCCTCTGTCAGACTGATGTCTTCGTTATCCATTTCTTCTGCTATATTGGCTTCCTCTGCATCCTTAGCGACCCTTCGTGCCTGCCGGTCTAGTGATGTATTTTCCAAAGATTCTATATCCTCAATGCCAGCTCTGTAGTGGATCATGAGCAGGGTGAGGGCCTGCAGTCTTTCACCTGATTTAGCCAGCGCAGTAGAAATTAATGCTTTTTTCCTTGCATCATTTGTCTCTTTTTCTTCCTTAATGAGTGAATTATTACTTTCCAGCTCCTGGTCTATTTCATTCTGCAACTTATCCAACATGAACTCCAATTTCTGAAATCGCTCCTCGGTGGGTAAACTTCTGTAGAGATCACGTCCAATTTCTTTAACGGCAATGAAGACGCTGTCATCTAGACCGCCTTCCTTCCTCACCAGCTTCACCCCTGTGCCCCCCGCGCGCTTCGACGGGCTATTTGGGCCGCTGATTTCAGTGTCGCTGCTTTCATTATCGGACGTGTTTGGCGTGTGCTTTGGCGATGGCTCTGCAACGTCCGTGCCTTGCTCAGAGAGGCGAGTTTTGGGGACTTGGCGAAGGTTTAACAGACGGGTGCTTGTATTGATGATATGCCTGGTCAGGCCTGTAGTTTTATTAACAGCCTTAGATTCGGAATCTATACGCGGGGGTGCAGCTTGTGCAGCTTCCTGTCCTTCTGCTCTACAGCTTCCCACAGTCCGATCGAGCCTCTTTTCGGCTCCTACACAAAAGGGTGTCTCGGTTAGACATTTTTCTTGACATTTTTTATGGCAAACATAAGCACAAAGCATGCACTGTGAAGCTGCTTTAGTCCAAACTTTCTTTTTACAATAATCACACCAAGTTGGATTCTGAAACTGAGTATCTTGAAAGTTATGCTTGTTCTCGGTAAAAATAATATTTCCCAAATAAGGATCCTCTTTCAGAACTGCACGAGCTTCTTCTTCCACCTGACATTCTTTTTCTTTTTCTAGCAGAAAGTTGGGATCTTCTAATTCTCCTTCTTTTAGATATTTAAAGTGTAAAGTTATATCACCGTAGCAAAATTTTTCATTGAATCCCTTATGTGTCGTTAAATTCCGCAACGCTGTTCTGGTGACTGCTGCTTTAGGTGTCGGCGCATCCAATTTAAATGTTCTAATATATTCCATAGACGATGTAGCTATACAATCTAAAGCAACTTCTTCAAGTTTTATACTTGCATATCCTAAGCAGATAAACCCACCTGCTTTGAAAGGGTCTCTGCACCACAGTGCTACATTAAGGTACTTATGGCATCCTTCTACTTCAAATATACAGGAGGATGCTCTTGTCCTTGGCCACCGACCTAGCCGGATTCTATAAGGAATTTCTGGTGATTCCCATGGTTGCTGATCATCTGCACAGTCTTTAGCACTACGTGCATTTTCTGAAATTCCATCTTTTAATGCATCTTGCTTTGGTACTGTTATTACTTTTGATACCAGGGGGTCTTCTATTTGATCATTATTCTTTACTGCCTTCTCTGTGCATTTATCGACGTTATTGGAAGGTGGAGGCGGCCGCTCTGGTTTCTCAGAGGATACACCCCCAGGTTCTAACAGATTTTGTGTTTCACTTGCAGGCAACGTAGGCTTAGTTTGTGGTCTAGGTGGTACTGGAGGCTTATTACTAGATCCTTGAGACTGTTTAGCTGATTGCTGCGATGCATCTGAACTCTCAGAAGTTTTGGGTGTTGCCACTTTAGCTCCATCTTTTGGTTGTGTTTTTGATGTTGTTTGATAGTTTCCCAAAAGTAATTTTCGATTCAGAATTGGCGATATAGTTCCAAGTGGTTTAGCAGAAAATATTGCTGCTGAACGTTTGGGACTCTGCGTCGTTGTCATATCTTCTTTTTGATCAGGTGACTCACACGCTAAATCTTCAAATTCTGAATCAAAATCTTTATTTTCAACATCAGTTGATATACCAGCTTGGTCGTCTTCTGGTTGCGTCAAAAAAGCAGAGTCTTCCAATTGCCCAAATCCATCCTGCAGTGCTGACCCATGCTGATTATACCCAACAGGCCTTTCATAAAATACTAGAACTCTGTCCCCAGCCTGTCTAATGAGCTTCAATACTTGCACAGTTGACGTGATTTTAACACCTGTGGGGGGGGGAATGACAAGAAATGGTAAATTTGAAAATACAATAGCTATGAAAATGGCCAAATACACTCAACGAAACCTCAGAACTGGAATAGTGAACAACTGTATTACTAATAGCAACAGGAGAAATCAAATAATTCTGATGGAAGATATGAACTGACAGGTAACAACTAGATTATTTCCACTTTATTCCTATAACACACTTCAGGAGCTGGAAGAGAAACCAGTACACAGTCTGGATTGCAACTGGCTGCAGCCTTTAAGACGTTGTTTAACATAATATGAGGTTACCATGGGAAATTAGACAGTGCCTTATCACAATGACTCATTATGTTCGTTAACTTAAGTTCTGCTCTGTAAATCTTCTCTGGTCAGAAAAGATATACAACCCCTAACAGATATATTAAATAACCCACGTTAAAAATGTATCAAGTTTTATTTTACTGTAAATTATGACACAAATTCTTCCTATAGTATCATAAAGATTCATAGAAACAAAACTAAAATAACTTGACCTCTTAACTTGTACAGTTAATGTTTGGTGAAGAAACGCCCAGGCTATTGTGTACAGAGATATCTGGGATACTGTAGCTCATAATTATGCATTGCCTGCTGCATTTCTTTCTCTGGCAAGAGAATAATGGAGATAATCCCTCTAGATCCAAATTCAAAATGCAACCTTTAAATTTTCTTTACCATTTTGAAATCAGTTTCATTTATATTGTTTTGTCAATGCTATCAACATTAATTTCTAAAGCATTATTAACATACATTATTATTCCCATGGCTTTTTCTTCATTCTATGATCCCTTGACGGAGTACAAGCCTCAATAACTTTAAGCTAAGCTGCTTACAATTCCTACTCTATAATGTTTTATGTATTCCCATAATATCCAGTAGAATAAAAACATTGCATTATTTCTTAATGACCACTATCAGATTCCTATCTAGCCCTTTAAGTTTATTAGCTGTTATTCCTATTAATAGTTTATCGGTCCTTTTGCCCATATTAATAATCAGCAGACTCTTTTCAAATGTCAAGCTTGAAATAGTAAGATTTCCAGTTTCAGTGACTGATTATAATTTATGATTATGACCTAATTCTTTGTTGGTCATATGGTCCATATAAAACATAAGTATTCAAGTTACATCTGGAGTTGGTCTAATTTTAAACTGTATAATACAAAACTGTATCAATCCACTTCATAATTCGCAGGGATTTTGACAGAAATAATAAAAAAATCCACTCCCCCAAAAAGTCATAGATTCATTTCTCGCTTCAATGCGGCATCTACCTTCCAGTTAAAATATGGCCAAAATCTTTAAATATAAGAAGCTAAGATTAGATTTCTAAATATTACTAAATTTCTACTATAATAGATAAGTTATAATTAATTATGATTTCCAAATAAGACTAAAAGTTTCAGAAGGTTGCTCATTTTGTCAAAAATGTATTTATACTGCTTGTTCCATATTCAACTATTATTTCAACGTCAGTGCTGAGCATGCAAATCTAGGATGTGGATTCCTGTGTTTTGCCTTGTAAACTAAGTAGATTTTAGTGGAAAAATAAAATTGGAAAACATTGGAAGAAACCAAGAAGGGAACCTCACAGCATAAGTGTTAGAACAATGAAAATATACTTACATTAAAATATTTCTTTAGCTTTGTTTTTATTCTTTGCCTAGCAAAGAGTAAATAAAGATGCAAGAAAACTGATCAAACAAATGATAACCACAATACACAAAGGTGTGTGGTTCACTTAAAAATAAAAATATCTCTAAAAATATTTCTAATTGTTGAGAAAAGAAGTCAAGTCAAACCAGGTACAAAAATGTCCTTCCACTTTGCAAGATCCCCCTGTTACTTTAAAAGCTGACACGTTACTCACTGCCAATTGCTAGAAGTCTGTCTCCCCGCTGTAGATCAGCGGCTGCTGCAGGAGAGTTTGGAGTAACTGTTTCAATTACAACGTGTCCTGCATCATCCTCCTTGGACTGCACGAGGCGCAGAGTTAGCCCAACGCTGTGCAGATTTCCTTTCACCAGTTCTGCCTAAAGAGAAGGAAGGTGTGAGTTAGGACATGTTGATTAGCTTGCTGTAAAGACTCATAGTTACTTACCATTTTGCTCAACTCAAAATACACAATTGCAAAGAACTACTTTAGGGCATATCCCCTGAATTCCATGAATACCTTATCAAATAATCACTATCTGCCAATTCAGTTAACAAATAAACGGATGCGAATGTTACAGGTTCTGAAGACACATATATGCTGAAGCTAGAAAGCAGTGCAATAATTTACCAGCAAAATATATAATTTCTTGTACATATATACAATCTATATACAAATGACAACAACACAAAGCTCCACTGTGCAAAACCAAATCTGCTGACATAGCAACAAATGGTTCAGTTCTGCAAAAAGCCCCTGTCCTAACAAGCACCTGCCATGCTATCAGCAAGAAGTTTTATTAAGGTTTAGGTTTATTACTGAACCACTAGAGCTTTAATGTGTACACTAAAAGTAATACTTAGCTATAAAGCCTGTTATTACTAATAGCTCTGCAGTAGTCTATACAAAAACTCATTTGGGGTGAGAAAACAACTGGGAATGTACATGTTTAATTAAGTATATTCAGAACAAAACTATGTAGTATTTATGCATATTTATTACAACAAAATACAACAGTCAAGAGTTTAAGTAGTTTCTCCAAAGAATAAGAACCATTTTTATATTTATCTTGTCAAGCAGCCATATAAAAAAAAATTTAAGTGAGCAACTTCAAATATTCTATTCTTTAAAAATGATGCAATCTCTGTAGTAGAACTTCATCCACATACAAGCACAGACCTCCAAGATGCAAGAAAAGATCTCTCTTCAAGAAAATATCAAGAATATATTAACTGTTCATCATACATCAATGTCTGCTAATAAAGATGTCAGGGAAGATCTCAATGAATGCCTTATGAAATAAAAAAGGTGCATTTTTTTTCCCTAAGGAACATTCCCTTTGAACTGCTTCAAAAGACTGCCTGCTATCACTGCACCAAAGTATACTCTGCCCATTTGAAAGGCAACTGTCTCCGCTCCAAGAAGAGAAAATTAATTTGCTGCTTTGTTTCCCAGGAACTGAGTCACAGACATCGTTTGTAGAAATCCTCCATAGGAAACTTTCTCTTTATTTTCGGTTTACTGCAGACAATCAGACAGACAATCCTCTTCCCTCATCCTTTTGCATTCCCTGTGTTACTACTCAGTTGTCTACGTTTGACCTGGTGAGTTGATCCTCCTCTTTTTACGGCACATTGGTCTGCTTAGTTTTGCACAGGGGCTTTTCATGGAGGAAGCGGATCATTTAACTTCAGTATGTGACTCTCCTTAGCTGCAGAGTCTCAGGATTGCTTTGCTATACTGCAAACAATGGCATAGTCTTGGTTTTTTGTTAATTTTAGTTTTGTTCTTCATAGCAGTTAAAATACTAATTGTTTTCTTAACACTACTGAGTATAAAGAAGCAGACTTGAATTAACTTTCTAAGCTTGGCTGTTAACTTTCTGCATTTCACACAGTCACTTAAGCAAGGATATTTGCTCTCAAGCTTTGTTAACCTGCCTATTGAGAAAGGCACGTTAAAATATTCAGGAAACTATCTATGCTCAGCAGCTCATGCAAAACAAGACATAGCAAGTTGAACTGCTGTTTTAGGATTTAAGGTTCTTCTGTAATGCAAATAAAACAAGTTGAATTGCCTGCAAAAACAGTGGTGCCTTTCTTTTTTCTTTTTTCCTTTCCTTTTTTTTTTTTTTTTTAAAATAAACCTCATCCCTACTTACACTAGAGACACCCCTATAACACTGTTAAACAGTGTATTGCTACAAAGCTTTGAAGTGTTAAAAACTCAAATAAATTATTCTATAAATATTCACAGGAAAGAGAAACCTCCTTAAAAATAGTCTTTTGCTTTACTCTCTTTAAATTATATATAATAGGGCTTTATGCTAGCAATTCTCATGTAAGAACTACATGAACTGTATGGAGACAGCACGAACAACTACTATTATTTCAAACAATATTGGTTTAATATTTTACCTGTCAAAAACACAAGTGCCATCAAGTTGGTGTGGCAGTATATGAACCGGTAACAAGAATTTCCTTTAAGAAAACTCAGTTCTCTGTTATGCAGCTCTGTGGATTATCAGACAACGGGGAAATTTCTTTTTCTGGAATTTGCCACAGATTAAGTACTCAAATCTTACTTTCACTAAAAAGTCTTTGAAAATTTTGCCTTGAATTAAGGTTGGAAAAAAAAAAATCCTTGTCTGAATAGATAATTAAACTAACAAAGAAGAAAAGAGATTTCCACATAAGAAGTGCTGAGTTAAACATGAAGAATATTATACAGAGTGGAAAGCAAACTATAAGCATTTTTGTCCTACTTTTCATAAGCCTACAAGTATAAAGACTTTTAGTGAGGGACTTTTAGGAAAGAAACCGATCTTTAGTCCAAATGGTGAAAGGAAAAAAAAATCCCCAAAGGGGATAATAATCCCAGGATTATTTTCTCTTAATGCTAAAATATTTTGGCAATTTAATTATGCTCCTTGAGGGAGACATCTACTTTCAAAATCTATGGCTTGTCTGAAAACCAATACAAGTCTTTGTATTTTTGATCTTAATCCCCATAATTGGAGCTTATTAAAATAACATGACATTTTAAAGTGATGGTTCATACAGGATGTATAGTCTGTTAATTTTGCACAACTGCATAAGAATCCTGCTGTAAATTTATTAGCAATATGCAGTAACTATGTAACCGTTTTTTAAATGGAGCAGTTTATTTTTCTGATAAGTGGATCATCATAACCTTTTTACAAGGGGTACCTGATGAAAACCAAACTTTGCTTCACAGTTGGATGGATATTTGCTCCTCTATCCAAATAGCAGTGCCCAAAAGGCATGACATTTGCAAAGACCCCTTCTTGAGGGAGAAAGAAGCCTTACTTCAAAATTAGAAGCTCACACAAAAAACAAGGGTTAGTAATGCAACACCTAGCAATTTGGACAGAAGGCTGCCATGACCTCAGAACAGTTATTACTTACGAACCATGGCAGCTGTGATGAGCAAAATATGAGAACAGGGCATAATTAGATACTTTAAAAGTAAAAGTGTTACCAGAAGTTCTTACAGAATTTGTCCTCATCCTCTTGAGTTTCCTTCTAATCCAAGGACTTCTTTGAGCAGATCTCAATAGCAGTGTGACTTAACAAGGAAAATATTCTCTACTGTAAAAGCCTAGAAACTCTGAGGTGATTTCCAGCGTTTCAGGCCTTCCGTCCTCCCCCAGGGCTAGACCACATAAAAGAAACTAGGGACAGCTGGGACCAAAGACACTTAGGTATCTCTGCACATTTGGCTTCCATGCAAGGACACTGACTGCTTTTGAGCCTGGATATGAATCACTGACGGCAGCGAGACTTGCAATATTCTAACAATATCTGATGGAAAGCTGTTTCTGAAAGGACAGATCCTTTGAACATAACAAGCAAAGTTCATCTCGGCATTTTATTAACTTTGGCACAGTCACAAGCTTTCTCACAAAGTAAACCGGTTTTATTTATCAACCCAAACCAGATGAATAGTTTTCTTTATTTTTCTGTCTGGGAACCCTGAGTTTCACCAAATGAAACTTCCACCAATATATCTCAGGCAATCCACTGAGCAGTTAAGCTGTTTCAAGCCTTCTGGAATACCCGCCGCTCTACCAAATGAAAGCATCAGAAGGGCAAGATCTCCTAAATCACAGAGTAGAACAGAGTTGCTGATAATGAAAGGACATTTATTATCAAGGAGGCATAATGAGGGGTAGAAAAACTAGAAATAGTGCTCTGGAGAACAGGGAGTCATAGCCACGTAGCTACACAGCATTAAAGTAAGTTTATTTCAATCCATTTAATAGTTCTGCTCTATGACCACCTGCAATCCTCCCACTGGAGTTATTTGGGTAAGGTGCAAGCTAAAGCAGGTAATAGGAAATGCTTCTTAGTAAAAGGCATACATTCAGGGAACCATATTCAAGGAGTCAGAGCTAAACAATTTCATAATATTTGGAAAACGAACCTTCTTTAAAAAATGAAGCCTATGCTGTGAATCATCTTCCAGACTATTTATAAAATACTTTGTGAAATTAAGGCATAATGGAACAGAAATGCATTTTTTAACGGTGGGGGAAAAAAAAAGTAATTTCCATAGTATTTTATTATTCAAGAAAAAAAAAAGATACAAGATTTCCTTTTATTTTAAAATTAATAAGACATTTTGATGTGGTGCTGTGAACGCTTGGGTTTTAGAGAAACTAAGTATATAAGCATTGATTTCATGATAAAGGTTTTAGTTCATTTACATGCACTAGTGTAAGCGCCACTGCCAAGCACAAGCCCAGCACTGCTCTCAATCCAGAATGAGAAGCGTTTTCTGGAAATACGATGCACAAAGAAATTATGTTGTGTTCCCTGCCTCAGTCTTGCCATTTTGAAAGCCTGACAGATGTTGACTGCCAGGAAATCAGCTTCTTTAGCCTTTTTAAATTTGAATAAAGAGATACTGAATCTCACAGCTCATATTGATAATTCAGAAATGTACAGTTTGCTAATACCATTAAAATGGCTAAATATTTTAATGAATGTCAACAGAAGATGCAGTTCTCATTCTGCAAGTGTTTCATAAAATAATCAGCCTGAAAACTTGCAGATACACCAGGATTTGCAAGCATAAAGGACGCTTAATCTGATTTCATATCTCATGCTCACACCTCATACTTGCTAAATTGTAAGCTTCAATATAATAAAGCTTTAATAAAAACAAGTTAAAAAAGTATTTCACATTATTTTAAGTAATCATCCAAGCACATGCAAGAGATCTTACTTCACTGACCTTAACATCAACTGAAGAATAGCATTTCAAAGGTTGCCTATTGACTATCAGTGACATTGTCATTGCCAACCATTGATACGGAACCAGCTGTGCATGCAGCAAAATGACAGCCATACGTCT